AGAGTATTCATGTAAACTATGTCGGTTATGTCTTAAACAGTTGTGAGTGTATCGGATGTGCATCAGTGCAATTGTATCCGCATGTCATTGGCAATGATCCGATGTCTTAAAGTGACAGTGGGCAATAAACCTAATGCAGTCTGTGTCCTTAATTTTGATCAAGCAACAAAAGAAAATGAGAAAAGCATTCACTGTTTGTTAATAGCTTTATTAAGGATTAATTATATTTAATTCATACAAATAAATATGTCTACTTGAAAGAATAAAGAATGATGTATGCAAGTAGTTAAAGGTCCCGTTCTTCATGTTTTTTGAAGCTTTGATTGTGTTTACAGTATGCAATATAACATGTGGTCATGTTTCGCGTGTAAAAAAACACAGTATTTTTCACACAAATTACTTATCTGTATACCGCTGTTTTCACTGTCCAAAAAACGGGCTGATGACTTCCTTGCTCTATGAAGTCCCTCCTTCAGAAACACGTTACGAGTTCTGATTGGGCCAGCGGTTCCTGTGTTGTGATTTGACAGCAGCTTAGCGCACGTTGCCCGGAAAGGTCACGCCTCTTACCATAACGTGGAGATGCATGCGCACATTTTCGGGAACCGAGTTAAACATAAATTGTAACCATTGATCTCTAAGCACAGCGTCCCTGGGAAGGCCAGACACAGGTGAATTGACTCCGGCATGAAAATAACAGTGTCTCGACGACATGGCAACAAACACACTCTACAAACGAAACTCTTCCTCTTCACCGTGGAGCGCAACAAGACAACGCCCCTTTTTTGTGTTTTCCCGTGGGCAGAGATTATTCAAAAAACTGTTCTAGTTACGTCATTAAAAACGGAAGTAGAGGGATGTAGTCCAAACCGGCCGTTCGCTGTAGGCTTTGAAAGTGGACTTCTGTTAAATAAAATATCTCGCTAGGCATTGAACTTGGAGCTTTATAATTTTAAAGGTATTATTTATGCTCTAACAGCTACATTACACACTAACTAAAGTTTGAAAAAATGGAATCACGAAGAATGGGACCTTTAAAGAATGCTTATATCATTCATTGAAAAGAAGACTGTTCTACTTTAGGAAAAGTGGTTTTTATTTAATTTTAAGATATTTTTTAAGTCACAGTAGTTAAATCGGTATCTGTCTTGCATGTTTAAACTTAAAAATCATTCATATTATTGGTTAAAAGATGTTTTCTCCGGGAGTATATCGGTTTGGAAATTTTAGAGAAATTCTAAATTAACGCAATTCAATTTACCTAAACCCATTATATTTTAGTCGACTAAAATCTTATTGTATTTCGTCGACTAAAACTAAAACAATTCAGATGACTAAAATATGACTAAAACTAAATGGCATTTTAGTCAAAAGACTATGATTAAACTAAATAAAAATTTGCTGTCAAAATTAACACTGCATCTGACGGTACTTTTTATTTAACACTAAAAAGTTAAACAAGTTCCGTGAGAGCAACAGTACCGCATAACGAGTGTGGTCTCTCTATCTATAGACGTTTTTAAATCTAAACTCCAAAAAACAATGAAATTTTCAGACATCCATTAACGTTGTTGCGAGTGCATGCGAGGAAAACAACTGGAAATACAGCACTGGTTGTTCTCTCCATACTCGACAACGACGGAATCCAACGGCGTGGGTGAAGGTATAATGCGTGTATTAAATTGTATGAAATAATCCCGAAAAAAAAAAAAATAATAATAATACATTTTATTTGTAATGCACTTTTCATTTGCGAACAAATCTCAAAGTGCTACAGCAAACCTATTTCAAAAGTAAAAACAGGGCAGAGATGGCAAGTACAGCAGCTGCTGGAATTAGCTGAGAGTGACGCTAACAGACAGCAGACAAACGGCTAGCAGTGACAGCAGCCGCAATCCACCTATCACTCAAGTGGCCATGCCCTTAATTATGCAGACTTAATATAATTTAAACGGATGAGTTGTAAAAAAATTCACCCCCCTCACAGTTGTCATGAAGGACAAAATAAACTATAAAGACCAGAAACACTTTTTGCTCCAGGCTGTAACCATGTTTTTTTCTGCTGTAAAGTTGGGCATTTTAACATGGGGGAGATACAGATTTGACTCACTTCTGCCTCCAGCCTCAAGCGGTCAGTCGATGAATTGCAGTTTAATTCACTTCCGTGTTGGTTTCAAGAGAGAGACAGGGAGGTTGCCGCTTGGTAAATACACACAAAAACTCTTTCCACACCACACTATCTTCCCCCCTTAGTGACGATACTCAAGCTATAGATAATGACCTAGCTATAGTTCACAGAATAAACCATATAAAAAGTACAACTGATTACTCATGGGCCAAACAAACAAAAAACAAAAGTTAATTAAAAAAAAATCTCAAAACAATAAACTATAAAAAACTAAAATAAAGGTAAGGAAAACAGTGATCAGTTGCACAGGACGAATCAAACTCTTAGTTGCCTTTTGGCTGATTTCAGAAGCCACAAAAAGTACAACAGCAGTTAGTATCCATCGTTCATCCAGCTCAACATAGCCAACGTGAGGGCCTTTAAAGCAAGTGCTGTAATGATAATTCAGTGTCCACCACTTAGGGCATTTAGACCTTACGTCTAAAACAAACCAACAGAGCTTGTTCTTCCAGCGACCATGCCTTCAATGGATTTAAATTCTAGACTTTCTGGAGTCAGGATAGTGATTTAGGATGAAAAAGAGGAAAGGGAAAGATTTTATGATGCCTACTAGGGTTGGGCCGATAGACAATGCCATCGTCGATGGCTGACAGACATCACAATGTTGAGCCGGGATCGTTCAGATGGAGCATGGTTGCATATATGCACAAACATTTATGCACTATGTTGGTCATGAAAGGGAACTGTCCTTGGTTAGCTTTCCACCAAGTTAGTGGCTCTTCTCCATCAATAGCCATTTCCTGTAGGTACATCGACATCTCTGCTTCATCTTTTTGATCAGCAGTAAATATGGCTGCTGTTGCTGCTCTTTCCCCAAGAAGGCTGTGAACCCCTTTTTGTCTGTGAACATTAGGCGCGGTGCCAGCACCTGATTCCTCTGCCTCTGGGTGGCATCATGGCCATTTGCCTTCCATCTGCTCCAAGATAGAACTGACATCAGGTATTATTAACCCTAACCCCCCTAACCCTCAGGACCGTTTGCCCAGGCTGTGGATTACAGGTGTAGCATCTGGACGAAATCATGATGACTTATTCATTCTAAGCTTCAGAAAGCTTTTAACCTATTTTACTCATTCATGTAAATCACAGGCCTAGCGCAGATGAATCTGGATCAAATAAAATATACAGAGAAATACAGAGAGCAACAGCTTGTATTCAGCCTATAGGTACACTGTTGTAACCAAAAGGTACATAGAGCATGTTCTAGCAAAACTGCTCCCAAAAGTAAGATTGTTGCCTAGCATAGTAGGTCATACATACCACTTATTAATAGAATATTTTAGAATTGTTAGTTATAAAATACTTACACTATAAATAATTTTTAATGTATTCCCTTTATTCCCCAAACTTTGTGAATTGTTCTATTATACCTACATGTATGTACTGCATAGGTACACTGTAAATTTGGTTTACTTGTGTTGTAAATTGCGGGCAGTAATGAGTGCATGACAAACACATATCACTAATGAAGCCTTTAATATAAATCAAACCAGAAACACACAGGAGATAGCAGGAACAATAATCAGTAAACAACCTGATTAACAGTGACTACGTTTACATGCAGCCAAATTTCGGGTTATGGTCGGGTTAAGGTCACTATTCGGGTTTCTGAAACATTAGGGATAACCCGTTTACATGCGTGAGCAGAGAGAGTTACTCCTGTATACATGGAATTGCAATATCCCGATGTAAACGCGACGCGCGGTTAGCGTCTGGACGTACGGACAACCTTAAGACGCAATATGCGTCATTTCCGATTCTTCTTCCTGTATCCAAAGACAACAACAACAGCAGCACGCGGATTATGAATAGTTCGGGGCAGATAGCGATCACCTTTGTTTGCGCTTTGGTGCTGGTAACGTTACTGACCTCGCTCCAAAAGTATGCTGTGCTGCGTCTCGCCATGTTTACTTCCAGTACACTGCACGCGGGCTTTTGTATGCGCCGAGAAGTTTCTCTACTCAAAAGACCAAGATTCCTTGCGAATAGAACATGCGCAGAACACACATCACTATGGGGATATGCCGATGCGCTTTTACATGACCAAAAATTCGGGTTAGAAAAGGGGTACCCCAGGTATAATATCCCGGTTTTTAAAATCCGGGATATGAGCATATTCGGGTTTTTGCCGGTGTTTACATGGCCGTTCGCGACCGGGTTATTGCTACTATCCCGGTTTTGAACGGGTTATTGGCTGCATGTAAACGTAGTCAATGACACGGAACAAAGAACAGAGGTTTAGAAGAACAAAGAACTCAGGGTTTAAATACACTGGGGTAAACGAGGAAACTAAATGAACAGGTGAACTTTGTGACTAACAAGCACACACTTGGAAACTAGGTCAACATACAAATGGCAGGAAACAGGAACAGAACCAAACCAAAACTCAACGAACTGACAGAGCTAAACATAACCCTGACAAAAAGCGGCTGCAGTGCATTTGCAAAGAAATACAACCAGTCAAAAAAATAAGAATAATTCAGTAATCTCTCAAAATATCAGTTCTGACCCAAAGTGAGGACAATAATCAGGTATGCATTATATTTGCAAGCATCATTTATGTCTCACATTTAGGCCAAATAAAATAATCTCCACCCTCATTATGCAAACATTCTGAGGGCAAAAGCTCGCTGAACTTCATTAGTGTGCAATATTTATATGTAAAAACTCAATAATAAGAGTAGCTTTCCAAGACTAGTAAATTTAAATAAATTACAATATTCCAATTTACTACTTCCCATATTTATGAAAACCTGTCCAGCTCTATTGTCCTCTTAATCAAAGAACCCTGAGAACTGTCATTCAAACATTCTCAACAAAGAAAGATGAAAGGAATAAAGGATAATGTGAGGAAAATGGAGAATAAAAGGAGGTTGGGTGAACTTCTGAATCCATTGGAGTTGAATTCGACAAATCCAGGTGGGTTGCTGTCCATGTAAGAGTTGATCCAGTCCTGGTACTGAGAAACTCTGGCATACACACCGGGATATTTCGGCTCAGCACATCCTTGACCAAAACTCACAATGCCAGACTGAATCCACAGGGAGCTGATCCTACTGACCATTGGACCTCCAGAGTCTCCCTGTATTGATAAACATTTAACATTGATATATCATTGATATATCTGAAAATATACAGTGAATAACTGTTAAAAACTGATTATTATTTTTAGGTTCATTTGAGATGAGCAAAATCTGCACAGAACCGATCACAACGAGATGCACACAGGTTAGAAATGTGTTCAAGTGTCGTCCAACTTGCTCTTATGTCATGCTGATGTATGTCAAAAAACTCTTGCGACAGCGAGAACCCTGCGCACGACATGAATTATATATCGTGGCCTAGTTCATTCATGGCCACAATTTACTAATTTTCCCCCTCGTTTTAGTAAAGCGTGGTCCCATTGTACTAATTTGTTTGCATGTTTTGAATGAACTAAAACAAATTCAATGGTACACGTATTCGTATTGAACCGTTCGGTACGAGGCATTCGGTTAGGCCGACTAAAAAATGTTTTCAGCAGTAGCGCTGGCGTGACCACCACAACGTTGCCCAACATCAAATGGCAAACGTAATGAAAGCGGAATGAAACTGTGCTATTTTGTGCTTAACGGAACGTTTATCAGTTTGGACCATCAATGTCAGTGCAGCGCAAGCCGATCTTGATCAGGCAACACTGTTACTACAGAGCGCTAAGAGATCCAGTAAAGAAAGCATTTGAATTCGCCACAGAAGTAATAACATCACTGCAAGATCTAGTGAGAAGCATTCAAATGTCTCCGTTATTAAAGGGGTCATATAATGCCATTTTTATACAAGTTAATATGAATTTTTAGGGTCTAAATGAAAACTTTGTAATGTACTTTTAGTAAAAATTCTCATTAGTATTGTAAGAAAACACTTATTTTACCTGGTCAAAAACAGCTCTGTTTTCAGCACGCCGTTTCAGTGCATATGCCTTTAAATCAGGGGTCACCAACACGGTGCCCGCGGGCACCAGGTCGCCCCCAGGGACCACATGAGTCGCCCGCAGGCCTGGTCTAAAAATAGCACAACTCAGTAGTGAGCTGCGTCTGAAATGTAATTGTATTCTGTTGATATTCTTTTTCAATCACACCTGTTGCATTTATATAGCATATATTTATATATTTATATTTAAAAATGACAATATCTTCTGTTCATTATACATGAGTTTAGATAAGTTTAGGTGAACTCTGACTTACTCTAGTTCAGGGGTCCAAACGTCGCTCGCGAGCTACCAGTAACGTTAGCTCGTGGCCTGATTGGAGGTTGCTCGTCATGGAGCCGTTCACATATCGAGTCTTTTGCGTCCTCAAGTTCGTTATTTCAAATGTAGGTGCGAGGCAAGCGCGCTCATAATTAAAGCGACGCGCTATTTTTTTCCAGGTGCAGCGAGATGAAAAAAATGCAACTATTCAGTATGCCGCAAACGTACCGCAGGTCAACCAATCAGCTTCACCCTTTCCATAACAACATTGAAAGCTCAGTCAACATGAAGGATGGGGGTGCACCCAAACACTACGGGTGTTTTTCTCTTCTCCGTAAATAAATCTTGTAGCAGAGCTACAGCAAGTGTTTTTCGGTGGTGGAAATCTATTAGCTACTAAAACTTCTTTGTCATTGTGGAGAGCACAGTGCATGGTTGCATAGCAACGACAGACGCCACGGGAAAATCAGATCGAATTTTACTCTTAATAATAAAAGATAAGCTAATGTGCATTGTAAAAGTCAGTAATTTATCTTTTTTGGCTCATTCTTTTTATAAAAATGATTTAAAGGCTGAAATATGTGAGGTTTATATTTTTATAAAACATTTTTTGTCAAAACTTTATTTGAACTTGTACATACTTGTACAGTAGGCTAGATAACATGTTGCAAGACACTCCTTTAAAATCTAGCCATAATTTTTAATGTTATTATTTTAATGTTTATGTAAACAAAAAGTGCATATTGATGCGGATTTATTTGTTATTTGCTGGTTTTCGACATACAACTTAGTGAATTGATTTCATTGTGTAGTATTATTACTTTTTGAACAGGATTCTGTGATTACCGTGATCATTTTGGTCACTAATGAAATTAAATTATCATGCCATTTCATATCTAGTCATGATGAACTATAAAATCAACTATAATTATGTGTTTTTACAATATAATATGCAAAGTACAATTTTCTATAAAAAAAATAATCTCTGATTCTGTTCTTTTCTCTGACATTTAAGGGTGACATAGGCATACAAAAACCCTTTTAGGTATAAAACAGTTTAGATAGTTGTTAATATGCGAGTTATGAGACATTATTTCAGAGATTTAAGTATTGTATTACATGAGTAGCTCTCGGCCACTTTCATTTTTAAAAAGTAGCTCTCAAATGAAAAAAGGTTGGAGACCCCTGCTTTAAATGATAATGAGCTTTGCTGACTCCGCCCCCTCTTTTCTGCGGGCGTTTAGACACGTGGAGTGTTGCCTTGACAACAGTTGAGGGTACATTGACAGATTTACGTTACAACTAATGGTCATGAAAAACTTTTTTTCGCGATTTGCAAAGATTAATATAAAGGTTAATACAACTTTACACTCACTTCTTCTGGAGGTGCAGAGGGAACATACATAGTTGCCACCGATTCTTTTTTCAGGAGCAGCTTCTTAGCAAATCCAGCTTTATACTGACCCTCGTTTATAAGCAGTCTGGTGTGTGAAATGATTCGCGCAAACATGAACGCATTGACGTTGCTCGTGGGGAATATTCCCTTCGAAAACAAACTCAGCCACTGCGTCTTCAGCGGTTCGGATTTAGGAACATTAAAATGACTGCTGTGTTCGTTATTACACCCAAGAACAGAACACCACAATCCCTTAGACGCCATTCTGCTCATAGACAGTGCTGCAGCATATCAACAATGACGGACTATGATAACAGCTCGCTCAGGGCGGGTCTGTGTTGAAACGCTGCTGTCAATCAACAATCGTGGGAGGGGCGTCCTATTTAGTGACGTCACACGGTCGAAAGGCTCGATTTGAGACTGGGGAAAACATATAAGGAATTAAAACAAAAACACTAGATGGATTTTTATCATTATATGATGGTTGTGTACAGGCACTGCCAACACACATTTATATGATGGTTGTGTACAGGCACTGCCAACACACATTTCAGTCAAATCAACTTGTAAAAGTGTATGTATCATTATATGACCCCTTTAACCGTAGATCTCTATTAGATCAAACAGCGCTGACGTGGAAACCAAGAATGTGGTTTCATTCATTGTGCCATTATAGATCAGCAACATTCACCATGGTTTAATGCTAACACTAACTGTAACCATGGAAGTTTGGCAGTAAAATGTTTTCAAGTACGTCACACATCTTTTTGCAGCACTTCAAAACTAAATGTTATTTTTAATGTGATGACCAAAACATTATTTGTTCATCCTTCAAAGGTTACCCCCATTTATAAAACTTAAAGTTTCATGATGTAGGAAAACTCACTTATTTAAAAATAAAAAAGACCAAATTACCATTGTAACCAGTAGGTGGCTGCCATTTCCACTCCCAAAACGTTTTGCTTATGAATTATTATTTCGACATTATGAATAAAATTGCTGCCCTCAAATATTAATCTGAAATCAAATAAACTTTTGTCTTTAACTACTACAATATTACATTTCATTTTTTTATAAGGAGCTGTTTTTGTTTTATATGCTGCTAAGAATAGCTCCATCATTGTTTGGAGTAAAAAATTATCATACTTTATGTTTTTAATGTTTTAATAAATAAATAAAAATCGAGGAAATTTCTCTGGCATTTCTTTCTTTTTGCTTTATTGAAAACGTACCGAACCGTGTCACCACTGTATCGTATCGAACCATGAATTTTGTGAACAGTTACACCCCTAATATATATATATATATATATATATATCCTGACAATTCTCTGAATATTTTAGCATGATAATGATATGACAATGTTAATGTATTTGGTCTTGGCGGAATAGATCTGCTAAGCTTTTGCTGCATGTTCGCAGATGTGACATGAACCAATCAGCTTCTTCCAAGTAGTTAACACAGTAAATATCATCAGCTGTGTTAACCCTTTGACGCGTAGGATCACACCGGTGTGATCAGTCTTGGCTGGTCCCTGGAGCGTACGATCACACCGGTGTGATTAGAACGGTCAGTGCATCACGTGATCAACTGCTAAATTCAAACTGCTTTCGCGCGTTGGCTGGCGCTGAGCCAGAGACAGACGCACTCAGTGCTGTCATATATCACAACTATTGAGTATTTTAAACCACATAATGTTTATTTTAGGTTTCAGACATTTAAATACACATAAGTACTAGCAAAACAGTGATTTTGAATTAGTAAAATAGACACTGATGTCTATGGAAACGGCAACAATAATCATTTCCATTATAATAAGGAGAAACGTTTTATTCATATCAGATACACATTGTGTAAGTAGCTTTACATTTTACCCTATTCTTCTCCTAGTTCACCGGCCACTTACTTTCATGTATTTCGTGAGAAACAACAGATCCGATTCTCTGAACTGTGAAACAAACTAACATGGCGCCGCCCATCGCCCATACAGCTCAACTAACGCGATCGTTATAAAGATGTTTAAACAACAATACACATCCACTTGCACATATTTGACAATCGGAATATCAGTGTTTCATAGTATAGCTAATACATTTGTGAATATTTTGAATACAAAAGGAAAAAAGACATAAAAGCAGATCATCACTCATTCAGCTCTGTGTTGTGATTGCGCTGTGTCACGTGACAAGAAATGACGCGTCACCATGGAAACATTAAAGTGACAGGTTCTAAATAACGGTCGCCTTGAAAAACTCACGCTGGGGGGTCAGTTAGAATATTTTAAACTTACGTGTGAAAGGGTTAAGGACCCATCATCTTTATATATTTTATAAAGATAACGCAACTCTGAATCCTGCAGGTCTGGTAAATTAGCATAAACCCCACCCTGAAAGCGATTTCATTGGTCAACTCAAACACGCAGTGATTTCAAGTTTGCGCTTAAGTGATTGGCAGGGCAAAAAATAATGCAGAGTATAACAAAGTCGGAATACGTATGTGTCGCACCGGTCAGTGCAGTAGAGTTTAAAATGAAAGCTTGCAGCTATCTTGTATCTAAAAAACTGCAAGTTTTTCCTCGCAGAATTGGGCTATTATTAAAATGTTCCGGTGGATGTCAATTCTGGGTATGGCAAATCGAGTTAGGCTAGAGTCAGTGGGCTAGATTTTGATTGCTCATCAGTTTAAAATGAATGACTGATGTCTTACCTGACATGAATCTTTTCCTCCCTCATTTAACAATCCAGCACAAATCATGTTACTCGTGATGCCCCCTCCATAAGCATTATAACAGGCACTGTTGTTCACAATTGGTATCATCACCTCCTGCAGTATGACTGAAGCCTGGCCTGTGACACAGATCAGAGGACAATTTTGGCAGCTTTTAATGGCCATTTACAGTAAATTGTTGAGCTTTAGAGTATTGTTGTTTTGCAAGCAAATGTTCACTCACCTCCAGCCTGTAGTGTTCCCCATCCAGTCACCCAGCTCTCTGCACCTCCAGCAAATACACTACCAGCAGCCGCCAGACAGACTGGCTTAATGTAATCAGTGAAATTCACAGAAGAGGAGAGCTGGAGAAGAGCTATGTCATTGTCATGACTAGGACCGTCATAGTTAGGGTGATTTATGACTTGCCTGGCTGTCCTGTATGTCTCATAAGGGTTTGAGCCCGATTGGCTCTGACGTCCCAGGTAGATATCAATGGTACTTATGGAACTGTATGTAAGGAAAGTCAGTTTTAATTACAATAACATCAATTTATAATAACGTCTTGTTGTATTTAAGCTTTAAACTTCATACTCCTGGAAGCAGTGAGCTGCAGATAAAACCCAGTCTTTATTGATTAGACTCCCACCACAGAAATGCCTTCCATAGCGGATGGCATGAATGCTGACTTGCCACGGCCAAGACCCTGCTGTTGCATCCTCCCCTCCAACAATCTTGTTGTTGAGGGGGGCTTGACCACATACTGATGAGAGGAAAGACAATGTGGGAATTCTCAATTAATATTATATATTACACACAGGATATGTGGAACAATAGTTTAATGGTGGTTAGGAGTCTGACAACTTACCATCTAACTGGCAGAGAGAACCTGAAAGACAGAGACCAAACAATGAAATGAACATCTATAATCTGATAAACTAGTTTTTGTAGCCTGTAACTTGACTATTGTGTAGGTGTTGGCACATGCCATTAGTATGAATCAAGATAATACTTTCACAAGAATTATGGTGTTTAGGGATTAAAGCCAGGTTGTTGTCAGGTTACAATGTGGCTTTACACAGCACAAGATACTCAAAGAAACAATCTTTAATAAAATAAATGATCACATTTAGGAGAAATAACAAGTTCTACCAACATAAATGAGACTGAACACGGAACAGAGAAAACTAAGGGCTTAAATACACAGAGAGGAATAATTATCCAGAACAGAAACATGAACGGGATTAATTAATAGCCAAGGTGATAAACAAGGAACTGGTGGAAACAGAATCAATACACAATGAAACTAAACAGTACTACGCTTTACAGTGGTTAAATGATTTCATTGTCTGAGATATGAAAATAGTAACTGAACCTGTCAGTCTTGTGAGCTAAATCAGTTTCACGCCTCGTGCCAAACACATTTGTGTTGTGGCAACGTCTGTGGCACGTTGCATTTCTACTATGGTGACGTCGCTGTCTACGTGCTCGCCACATTGTAACGACGTAGAATTGTAAGCCGCTACAGGGCTGTAGCAACGTTGTTGTGCGACATTCAGCAACTGCGAGACGACGTTCTATCAATTAATTTTTTTTATGCTAGATATAGATATTCCCCATTTAGCATGTTATGTTTTGAGGTTAATATTTTAATTAGTCAGATGTTAGCTAATTATATACCTTTTAAATATTGTTTATCCTTGTTATTATTTAATGGGCCTAACAGTAAATTAATTATAATTATGCTTTATATGTTTTATTTATTATACTTAAAAGAAATTTTTATATTTGTTTATTTAGTTTTTGTCTTTTTTTTTTTTTTACAAATGACTTCTGGAAGGGTGTAACGAGGTTCAGATGTTATGGGAAGAAGGAGGCGGGAACCGGCGAACATTCAATAAGTTTAATAAAGACAGCCACCGGCCTCGCGCCGCTCTCTCGCGGCCCTCGGCCTCGTCCTGCTCGCCACAAAGTGCAATTTGATTACCATATGCAGTTCTAATAATGTTGCTGAAATAATGTTGTGGCGAGCAGGACGAGGCCGAGGGCCGTGAGAGAGTGGCGCGAGGCCGGTGGTGTGATTACTGATGAGCGACACATGCGCAACGCACCGGTCTCGTATCTCTCACGGAAGAGCGACGACAGTGGAGATGGAGAGAGGCCAGGCCTGGACTTTATGTTGTGTATTGTGTGACCAGCAGTCGTCCGTGAGGGGCTGCTGGCTTATACTTTCATTTTGTATTTGTTTTATTTTATTTATTAAACTTGTTGAATGTTCGCCGGTAAGACAGCATCTCCATAAAGAAAATACAGTGATTTCTGGGTTGCTACATTGAGTATTTGTTTTAATAATGGCCATAAATTAAAAAATGGTGATTAAGAGCTACAACTTATTTCGATCTAATTTATGGAATCAAATTGATATCCAAAGGGTAAATAATTTAGGTTTTAAACAAATAGGTTTTCAGGTTTTAACTTGTTGTTTGTTTTAAACATTGGCTGAGTAGTTTGCTTAATGTCCCCCGTGATGAAAATCAAGTTTTTAATGTGGTTTATATGTCTATGTGGTGTTAATAATATGCTTTAAGACAAACCATGTGTAAATTCATAAGTCAACATCATTGACGAGTATTTTCTCCTTAAAAGTGCAGTGAACCAACGTCAGTCTCGAAAACGTGGATTGAAATTGCTGGTGTTTCTGACATCACAAACTACCTTGTAACCAATCATGTAGTGATGTCCGGTTCGTGAACGAATCATTCTTTTGAACCGGTTCTTTTTAGTGAACCGGTCGAACCAGTACACCAAATCAGACGGAATCGTTCAAAACAGTTTGCGTCTTGCGTCAGCGCTGACCAACAAGTTACTAAAGTTACTCACTTTCGGACATGCCCTCCGAGTCGAAATAAACCAATATCCCTGAGTATATTTTACTCCAGTAACTCCAACAGTTCACTGAACTGAGACATGTTGTGTTTCAGAGGGGCGAAATGCATGTTTCTTAAATATTTTGTTTAACATCAATAAGTGCAACAACATAAAACATGTTGGAAACATGTTTATCATATAATTACATATAATTATTATTTTAAAGATTGGAAAAACAATGAATGGATTGAAAAAACTGTCAAACTAAACATTTATTATTATACTAAACCATTATTTTCAGGAACAGCTAATGTAATTTCTTAGTAAGTTGATATAGCCTAAATCTTTCACGTAAACTTTAAAGGGTTTTAAGGGTTAAACGTAACGTAACGTATTAAACATACTGGAGGAGACCTGCATCGACTTTTTAGTTTTGTCGACTGTATAGTAGCCTAAGGTTTCATCACTTCTCAGCTCAGCACACACAGTCCTATGCTACGGTTCTCGAGTCAAGAACTGGTTGTTGCAGCAGTTCTCGAATCACCAGTACAGAACCGAGAACTGTTTCTTTCGGACACGTACGACACGGAGAACCGATGAGTTGGAGATACTGCGCATGCAAACTTTCTTTCGGCCAACGGATGCTGTGCTGATACATCAATACTGAGCTCTTAAATGAGGGGTCAAATTCGGTGAAATATAAGTTTTTTTTAATAACAAATAAAATAAAATTGTTTAGTTTTCAAGTTTATTCACTTATATCTTTAAACATGTAAAACATCCGTGTTTGCACATCTCCAGGACAGGGTTCATTTGCAAAACGTAAATGTAAGAAGCTTATCCAAGATGATTATGACGATGATTACTATTATTTAACTGAAGTTATGATTACAAATGCCTGGATGATAGAATTGACTTCATTACGTGAGGACATAAAAGAACTGGTGAACCAGTTTCCAAAAGAACCGGTTCGCGGAAAAGAACCTGGACTGTCCATCATGTCAACAAGTGGATCTCTGAGCTGGTGCGAGTGAGTGGAGGCGGGGCTAATTTGCATATTAATAGCACCGCTTATGCTAAATGAGGCAAGGGTGTAGAGTTACATTCGAGCTATTTTAAGCCATGAAGACATTTTTTTTCAAGGAAAAAAAAACGTTTCAATGTCATTTTGGTGATCAAAGATGAGTTTTAAGGGACAAAATGGTAACACTTTATAATAACTACACGCTAATAATCATTAGTTAAGCATGAGTAAACAGTTAATTCATCATTCATAAAGCAATAATAGACATTAATAAGCAGTTTATAAATACAGCTATAAATGCTTTCTTCTTGATTTACAAGCATATCTATAGTTTATTTAATAATTGTATTTTCATCCTTTATTAATGATCAATTTATTATTTCTAAATGAATAATTGCATTTTTTATAAACCAGTTATTTAAGAGTTTTCAGTGGTTCATAAGATTACTTAGAACGTGTAAGTAAATGATTAATAAACTATTTAAATGTACATTCATACATCTTATTATTCAGACATATAGTTATGGTTACTTAGTGTGTTAATAAATGCTTTATTAACATGTATTTAAGCTGTAATTCAGGGTTAATTCGGGTAGTTATAAAGCATTTATTAGTGGTCAGTTAACTATGTTTGTGAGCTCATCTAAAGTGAGGACTATTCATGCCTTGTAAAGCATTTATAAAGGAGATTTAAAGGCTGTTAAATATTTCTATGTTCTGTATCACTGTGTTGTGTTTGTTACATTTTACTGTTTAGAAGATTGATGCGCCTTCAAATCTCCTTTATAAATGCTTTACAAGGCATGAATAGTCCTCACTTTAGATTAGCTCACAAAATAGTTAACTGACCACTACTAAATGCTTTATAACTACCTGTATTTACTACATTTACTTACACTTTCTAAGTGATCTTATGAATGACTGACAACTCTTGTTTGTAAATAATGCTATACTTCATTTAGAAATTATTAATTGATCATTAACAAAGTATGAAAATACAATTATTAAACGCATTATAGATATGCTTATAAATCAAGAAAAAGATTTATAGCTGTATTTATAAACTGCTTATTAATGTCTATTAATGCTTTATAAATGATGAATTAACTGTTTACTCATGCTTAACAAATGATTAATAGCATGCAGTTATTATAAAGTGTTACCTACAGGGGTACTTTAAGTATGTTATGCTGTTCCATAAACACCTAGTAAAAGATTATGTTGATTTATGGTGTATTTTCATAGTTTTTTAAAGCTTACTGAAACTACTCACAACACTTCTACACTGTAATTTTTTTTTTAAGTTGTAAATAAAACAAATATTATTAATATTATATTTCAGTCATTCTACTTCAAAATTGAACGTTTAGTTCAGTTACATGCCGTTTCTTTGTAATTAAGTTACAAGCAATTTCTGAGTGAAAATTGGTTCTACTGTGTTCTTGCTATGTATCACTATGCTTGCGTGAACGGTGTCCATACTGTATTCCTGTTAATGTATAGGTACTTAAATAAATTCACCCTACACTATTGTCACAGAATGGCTGGCTGTACAAAGCGCACAACACAGAAGAATATCACACAAACTCAAGAGACAAGAAAACAACCTTGACACTGGACAAAGGACTGAACACAACAGGGAGTGTATATATACACACAACCAAAGGTGGAACAGAGTTAATTAGTGTACAACATGTGAACTGAATCAAACTGACACATCCTTGGAAACGAGGTCAAATGGCAAGACAGAAACAGAAACAAACTCAAAGAACAAAACATAATCCTGTCAACTATACACTTGCGTCTTACATGTGCAACTGTTGTGAAACAGGTCTTACAGCCACTATCATATTTTATTTACCCTAGTGACATTGTTGGACTCTAACTTATCTACATTAAAAATAATTATGCTTTAATACTACCATATTTCATAGATTTCACATACACCTACTCAACCATCAAGCTACACTCTTAAATAAAAGGTTCTTTACTGGCATTTATCGTTCCATGAATAACCTTTAATGGCCATGGGAACTTTCCATTGCACAAAAGGTTCTTAATGGTGGAAAAGGTTATTTAGAATTTTAAAAGTTCTTCACGTTAAGAAATGGTTCTTTTAAAAACTGTTTACTGAAAGGTTTTTGGGAATCAAATGGTTCTTCTAAGGTATCACTGCAAAACCATTTACTCAACTTCACGAGGTGCTGTTTAAATCATTTTAATGGATGAGTTAAATGCCTATGAACTCATTCAGTACTAACTATATAAATAAATACATCTTACGTTTACAAAGAAATTCATACTTAGTTAGCACACTATATATTTATCTCCAAATCCAATTTCAAGCATTTAAACATAAGCCTTTAGATCAAATGTATTTGCGATCACTTGTTTGCAGTAATAGCCATTTCAGGTGTGCGCGAGTTACAAATGTCCTTGGCAACAGGAATTCAATTGTCAACTGTCATTATTAAACAATTTAAACGTTAAATCTACACTTGATTTTATATTTACCTTCTATGTTGAGAAGTATGATTCCAACAAAACTCAAAGCTGTGTTAAACTTCATACTTAAGCTCTGGTGTGTATTCTGTCTGCTGTTTCCTCTCATGAGTCTCTGATTACATTATTCTGTCAGTATTTACAGTACACACACCCCCCCCCCCGCTCACCTTTACAGGTAAGTAATTATAAGGTTTGCTTATTCAGTGCCTTTCAGTTTAAGGTCACTTCACTACACATTAACACATTACAACATTTCAAGTGCAAAAACAGCATACTGAATGAATATGACTGGGCAGATCTACAGTATGTTATAAATACACAAAAAGTCTTCATTTGTTATTAGGGGTTCAAGTGTGTAATTCTAATTATTGACCCTATTATAATTGTTAGGATTTTAAAAGATCAGCATTCTGCCTTAAAAGTGATTGGGCAGATTAAACTGTAAGTCGCAGAGACTTGAAACTTTGAGGGCTGCTTTGTACTCGCACCGTCTACAACGTCACCAAGGCTCGCCCAAATCGGCCTCACAGGGGCGCTGTTCGGAACGAAACTCGCTGGACCTGAAACTCGATGGCCCCAGAGGCCTGTGAACATTTTTAAAGATATCAGCCACCGGGGGTCTAAATCACGTTTTTTTGTTTGTTTGTTCACTGTATATATTATATATTATTCACACATGCTCACGATATTCAGTGCATAAGATGGAACTCATTTGGGATTTGGAAAGCTATGAAAGTCAAATGGGAATGGCCAAGGGTACTCGAAAGCCAATCATTCCTAAAAGAAAACTCTGAACTTCGGTGAGCGGATGCGGCACATGATTGTAAGGGTATGTTTACACGACACTGTTTTCAAGTGAAAACGGAAAACTGATAACGGGTTTCAAAGTGCAAGGTTTTGAAAACTATGCCTTTGCCGTCTCTATGTAAACAACAAAAACACAATTGTACTATTAAACATATTAGAAATATTATAATAGATGAAACGGCTACTCATAGGAATTAATTATGGAACAATGTATTTAGAAATGTAAAAACTAACTAAAGCTTGGAATATTTAAATAAAAAGAGGTTAGATTCAAAGTTTTACATGGTATATATCCAGGCAAAGGTCTGTTAGAGAGATTCCATTTGGATAAATTATTCCTGTGATTTTTGCTCAACAGAAACATAATCTATTGTCCATCCTTTTTGTAATTGTGTATACACCACGATTTTTTGGGTGGATATATAACATTTTATCAGAAGGAAAACCATTATTATATTCAGTTAAATAATGTTGACACATGTATCTACTATTCAAATTAAATAACAATAATAATTTAATTTTTCTTGTACAACTTTTTATTATTTTGGGGAAGTTCCACATACACAAGAAGAAATGATAAGGATCCAAGCCAAATTGTATTCACTTTCTCCAGGAGATCAAGGAATACAGCGCTTGTTTGGAGAATATTGTCAACAAACAACTATTTGTAGTATTTTTGTGGATATCAAATTTTTGATTAATGAATTCATATTTTGTACACTTTGGTTTTTTTCTGTATTACTGTATTTCTGTTTACTGCAGTATATTATGTTCATATAAACTGGCTAAAACAGGGGGGTTTCATGACACTTTAATGTTATAGGCCTATGATCCTGTCTGACGCAACAAAATACAAAATGTGTGTGTGCATTTAATTTATCGTGTGAAATTAAAGCTGCTGTAGTAAAAACTTTTGTAAAAAATTAATTTTTACATATTTGTTAAAACTGTCCTGACAGATTTCCATTACACGAGAGTAGATGTTAAACCTCATGCTGGTTTGTACTCGGCTTACGCCAAGATAAGCACAAACTGAGACGTAGCTTTACAGTGACCTATACTTCTCTCTCTCCATCTCTCCATCCATTTACGCTTCTTTCCATATGGTGATGTGAATCTCCTTCTGTCCGGCGTTAACGGCTGCAGTATACTTGGCGCGTCAGCACACACAACGGCTGTAACTACAGTGTGGTCTCCAAGCGGAAACCTCCCTGTCTCCCTCTTGAAACCAACACGGAAGTGAATTAAACTGCAATTCATTGACTGGCCGCTTGAGGCTGACTGCAAAAGTGAGCCAAATCTGTATCTCTCCCATGTTAAAATGCCCAACTTTACAGCAGAAAAAAACATGTTTACTGCCTGGAGCAAAAAGTGTTTTTGGTCTTTACAGTTTATTTTGCCCTTCATGACAACTGTGAGGGGGGTGAATTTTTTTATAACTCGTCCGTTTAAATTATATTAAGCCTTAAATTCCTGCATAATTAAGGGCGTGTCCACTTTTGATTGACAGGTGGATTCCCGCTGCTGCGTCATGAGCATAGGGTCATGAGTCATCATTAGCCGTTTGTCTGCTGTCTGTTAGCCGTCCTCAGGTAATTTTCCAACTGTTAAAATAAATAAATTCCAGAATTGATATCGCTGCCGTGTTTGTGATTTTTCGGGATTATTTCACAATTAAAATGTCTTGCTCTGGGGTTAATTGTATTAACAGACCGTCCAAGAAGAAGCTTGGACTCCATTTTTTCCGGTGAGTGAATCTAATATAATTTTATTTATTAATTTATTTATTTTATTTCTAATAATTTATTTATGATTTATAATTGTATTTAAAACTTTATTAAACCCCAGAATCCAACAGACTGTGAAGCTGTAGGCTGAAATCATAGACTGTATAAAACGTCTGAAACGTTGTCATATGATTTTACGCCTGCATTTCATAAATAGAGTAACATTTACAAACACTGACTAGATTGGAAGTATTTTTTGACATGTCCTCAAAGATATGTGTAGGAAATAAGCCTTAAATTACTCAATAGACACTACAACGAAACAGAATGAGGACTGTGATGTCTGCCACAAATTTTTAAGCCAAAATACATTTATTTCAACCTTTTGGACACTGTAGTAAATTTAAGTTCTATTGTTTGCATGTAAAGTAGTCATAGAAGGAGGTAACTAGCCTATCTATTTGTTTGTGTAAAGTTTTCCTCTAGGTGATCCAGAACATCTCAGGTTGGACCAGTGGATGCTCAACATGAAACGACAGAATTGGACTCCTAACAAGTATTCTCGTCTGTGCAGTGAACATTTTGAGAGTCATCACTTCAGCACTGACTCCAGGGTACAGACACCTCGTTTCATACCTTACAAAGAGTCAAGCAACATATTGGTTGAAATTGTTGAAGAAAAATGGGCTATGTGATAACTCATTAAAAAATGTGATACGATAATGCTTAAAGTGTGTAAAATAAACTTAAATTATCTTTAAAATATATTTAAAATTATATATCCTACATGTTTCACATTCTTTTTTTGACAAGAAAACATCCCTACAGCTTCTGAAAGTGAACAGCAGTGTTTTACTGTAGCATAAGAAGTGTTATTTTAACATCAGTGTAAACCACGGGGTTTAGAGTTTTAGGTTATCCTACATTAGGTTTATTTAACAAAAGAAACTGAATAATCAAATCGTTAGCCTCATACCATAATTGCCTACGTTTAAAAAAAAAAAATGAAGTAGGCAATTATGCTATGAGGCTAACGAAATGTAAAAATAAAACACTGCTTGGTTTTCACTGTATGAATTGGATACACAGATTCTGATTAAAGCTACAAAAATTATTTAGCCAAGAGCAGTGAGTTATTTTCTCTTTGTCTTTTGTTAATGACCCCAGTTATTGCAAGTTGTTGTGGTATGCATATCGCAATAATTTTGATATATTGTGCACCCCTACCTTTTATGCAAATACCATAAAAAAAAAAAATACTTCTGTAAAATTCATGTTTGAAAAATTGTTCTCCAAGTGAGACAGCGGAACACAGAATGATTCTGTTGTGACAGTTATTGCAAACAGTTACATATTCTTTTAATAGCAATAATAATTTTAAAATGTAATCTGTATTCATACTAGTGTTAGACCGAATAATGAAACTTAAACGCATACATCTCTGTTATGAATTACAGCCATTTACAGCCAGTAACAGCCAATATGACCAATAATGTCATATTTTTTATGCCTCTTGTCATTTTTATTAGGGAAGGACATGCCTGAAGGACAACGCTGTGCCAACCATTTTCTCTTTCTCCAAGGGCAAAGAACAACAGCCAAAAAGAAGACGCTTGGTAAGTAATGATGAGGTGGTAAGTGGCATCCCTATTTCAGCTGTAAATAGTAATGAGGAGGTTGCATATCGTCGCTGTCGGGCGGAATCCTCGTATCTCCAAAACCATTATTTTTCAGGAAATAAAAAAAACTGCATATTTTTTTAGTTATTAAACATTGTATCGTTAAAGATGGTATTATACATTACACTCACCGGCCACTTTATTAGGTACCCCATGCTAGTAACGGGTTGGACCCCCTTTTGCCTTCAGAACTGCCTCAATTCTTCGTGGCATAGATTAAACAAGGTGCTGGAAGCATTCCTCAGGGACTTTGGTCCATATTGACATGATGGCCCCCACACCATTACACCACCACCACCAGCCTGCACAGTGGTAACAAGGCATGATGGTTCCATGTTCTCATTCTGTTTACGCCAAATTCTGACTCTAACATCTGAATGTCTCAACAGAAATCGAGACTCATCAGACCAGGCAACATTTTTCCAGTCTTCAACTGTTCAATTTTGGTGAGCTCTTGCAAATTGTAGCCTCTTTTTCCTATTTGTAGTGGAGATGAGTGGTACCCGGTGGGGTCTTCTGCTGTTTTAGCCCATCCGCCTCAATGTTGTGCGTGTTGTGGCTTCACAAATGCTTTGCTGCATACCTCGGTTGTAACGAGTGGTTATTTCAGTCACTGTTGCCCTTCTATCAGCTCGAACCAGTCTGGCCATTCTCCTCTGACCTCTGGCATCAACAAGGCATTTCCGCCCACAGAACTGCCGCTCACTGGATGTTTTTTCTTTTTCGGACCATTCTCTGTAAACCCTAGAGATGGTTGTGCGTGAAAATCCCAGTAGATTAGCAGTTTCTGAAATACTCAGACCAGCCCTTCTGGCACCAACAATCATGCCACGTTCAAAGTCACTCAAATCACCTTTCTTCCCCATACTGATGCTCGGTTTGAACTGCAGGAGATTGTCTTGACCATG